GCTAGACTGCAAAAAGACGTAGGTGCATGTTTGTGCTGATCATTATTTCAGTGTGCATGTGACGTGTGGCCATACTGCCATGGCACCTAGTGAGCTTTCTAGGAGCCTGTTTTTAATAGACTTAGAAGAGATGTGCTCAATGGTGTTCCCAGCTGTTTTGGCTGGGCTGTTCCTCTGGGATATCTTGATACACCTTGTCCAAATGCTTTTGTTCAGGAAGAAAGCTATTTCAGTGGGGAATCTTGATGCACTTCTGTAGATCCTGTAAAAATAGGTATTAGGCTAGTTCTTCATTGGAAGCAGTTATATAAAGTATTTTTTTGTTTTCTCTTTGAACAATAACTAAATTTTTCTAATGATGAACTTAGTCATTCTGTTATTTGGCAAGAACAAAACTGAAGACATTCTACTGTGAGTAATGTTGAATAGGTAATCAATAGTGACTAAATTAAAAATGAAGGTTTTGGTGTTTGGATGGAATCCTTCAGAAATCACTTTTCAGGGTTGCTGCTTAAAGATACACACGTCACTTATTCACTAACATGTTTCAAAGTCTTAACCTCAGAGTGAATGAGACAGCCTTTTCTTCTGCACTGAAGTAGCTATGAAACTGTGCTATTTAAAGCATAATCTAGATCAATCACAAGTTTAGTATGGTCCATTTCCAGCACAACTAATCAGTTTGGCTGATTCTAGTGGTATTTAACAGCACAATTTTGCACACAAGTTGTTTGAAGGAAATTGGCATCTTGAGGATCTTCATGGATTTCTTGTCAATAGCAGCTTAGACTTACACATTGGAAGTACATAACTTAGAGGATACTAGCAGATTCTTAACTTTGATTGTTTTCTTAGCTTTGGGAGTTATATGTGCTATTTTTTTCAGCTTCTTTAACCTAGAGGTGGGCTTTGTCACTTCAGGTGGCATCTGCCAATAGACTGTTTGTATCCTGATTGACAATTACCCTTTCTGAGAAAGCTCTTGTTGGGCTGGACCCAGGAGAGTCAGCGTAATTTAAGCAGCAGTTCACTCCATTTTAGCTCACTTCTGTGCTTCCTTTTCAGTAGTAACTCTTTGCTGCTATGAATTAGGTTACTCTGAGGGAAGAGGCCAAGGTGCAGATCCCATGGTGGAGGAGACAGGTATGTCCTGTCTCTGCCAGATGAGATTTAACTGACTTTTCGTGCTAAAGGTATGCACAGTCTTTTTCCTTGCTTGTTGAGCCTAAACTCTTCCTCTGCCATGCTCACATTTGAGTATGTGGCCTCTCAGAGCACTTTCCAAGGACCAAAGAATCTTCTTTCCTTGATTAGTCAAATTGAAGACCTGATTGGGAAATTTGAGAATATCTTTAGAAGGGATTCTTGTGCGACAAGTTCTGCAAATGTGTGCTCCAGTGCAGGATATTACAGTGGGGCCATTTAAACTTGCCATCTGATTGCAATATTAGTATTACCCATTCTTTCCCTAGCTGAATAATTATCAGGTGCTGCCATGGGTTTCTGTTAAGGGGAGTTCTAATCTGTGTGGTACACTGATTTTTGTCAATCCTTATAGGTACTGTAAATACAAGTTCAGTCATACTGTTGTTCAAAGCAGGGGAAAAATAACTAGAACTTCCTGAAAGATGGCACTTAATTGTACTTCCCAAAAATGTTTTTCTTAGGAAGTACTATAAAAGGATGTCTCAGGCTTATTGCTGCTGGATTATGTTGTTTAAAAATCCTTTTGCAGCCATTCAAGAATAAGCCTGAGAATAAAAAGGAACTGGGGAAATCAGGTTTACTAGTTTAATACAGGACCATGTGCTCAGTGAAAATTCAGTATGCCATATAATCCTCAGGTGATTGGGCAATCCACAGTGTTACATGCAGCATGTGCCAATTTAATGTTAAGCAGCAGTCTGTACAATGAGTAGGTGATATTCAATAATTCGAGAGATCGTGATTAGCTTTAAACAAGAAATGGAAGAATTAGACTTTAAACTGGACATGTACATCATGAAGGATCAATACTGGTTGGTGTTTGCTCTTTGTGTTATGGTATTCCAGATTTAGGCCATAAGAAAAATGAATAGGCCATAAGAATAGTTTTATACATGTGGATGACATCTAATGCTCATGTTTGATTATTTCAGAGTGTAGAATATGTACTTAAACTTTTAGCACTCCATTAACCATGATCTGTTGGAGGGAAAATTAGGCAATTTGATCAGCTGTTTCAGAAGCCTGCAGTTAGTGTCACTGCAACATTTGTTGTGACACTGCTCTTCTGTGTTCCCTTCACTGGTGATGGGCATGGCATCAGGTGTGGCCTGGGAGTGCAGCATAATCACTGTTTCTTCAGAACTTGTTACAGTTGCATGACTTTGTTATAGAGAACGAATAAAGGAAGTTAGATTTTGGTACTTTGTAAGGACTGTTTTGATTTGTGTTATTGTAACTTTAAATCTAGATTATATTTTTAAACTTAGGCTTATAAGGCTATATTTGGGATAAACCCTTACTCCTTGGCAAAGAATAGGTACATTGAGAAATGAAAAATGGGTAAGTATACTCTAGTTAATAAGCACGTTGACTTCTTGCCTTCTATATAGGTGTGTACAGGATACAGGACTAAATACCTATTAAAAAAAAGTAATAGTTCAGGTTATGAAAGTGCTGCTTCAGAGCACTTTTGTTTCATGCAGTCAGAAAACCTGTTTAAGCTTTGAGTAGATGAGAAATATACCAGAGCTAAAATATGCATGAATAAAGGGAAAAAAAAACAAAACAAAATAACATAATTTACTCCCCAGATGAACTGGGCTCTGAAGTATTAGAGCATGAACTCTGCTAAGTGCTTTTCAAGTTGGTGGCAGTGTTAACCTTAGCCAGAAGGTGCCTCGAGTGATGTAGCATAACAGGAGTGGCATTTTCCACTTAAATTCATATTGCCTTTTTTTTAAAGTTGTAATCCCACACTAAATAGTACTGAGAAATTTGACTTAATGAATGTACACTGTAGCTGCTTTAAAATAGAAATTATCCCTGGAACCCTAAGATAAAAACAAAGGAACAAGTACAAAATGTGCTCTTGCACATGAGAAGGGTATGGGAAAACTGGAATAAGTTTCTGCTTGCCTGAACTGCTTCACCCCTTTTCTTCCCATTAGTTGATAGGAGAAGTGGTTGTTAAGGCACTGGAAAAGTGGACTTTGCCCTGGTCTGTCTCTTAAGGACACTTAGCTCCTCTCTAGAAAGCACGAGTTGGTAATGGTTAAATCATGAAGGGAAGAATCTTGCTATTTCTTTATCTGATAAGGGAGTTTTCTGAATAGTTGTGAATTTTTAAAGTATTACTGTGACTTTAAGCTGGCATTAAAAACAGTTAAATTGTTTGCTCATGGCATTTCTTCAAAAAAAACTATTATAAGTAACTCCCTCCCCCTTTCCCTGTTCTCGGTTCCAGGGAATGCTAAAGAGAGGAGTGACTTGGCATAGTTTTCAGTCTGGATCCAAGCATGTTGAATAACTTTGTCCCAGGGGAGAATTAAAAAAAATGCAGCAGATGGCAGCAATGATGCATCAGACTTCCTATCCTTAGGAACAGTGTAGCTGCAGGCACTTGGAGTCTTCCTGGGTTGGATAAGGGACAGGGGGAGGGTAGTTTTCCTCTGATTTTACTTTACAATTTCAAAGCAGCCTTGCTGAAGAGGGGGATGTACTTTTTTATCAATTCAGCAATCTTTTATGGTCAGAGTTAATGGAATATTAGTTGCCATAAGGTGCACAACCAGTGGAAAAATAGCATTGTGTTCAATGTTCGTCTGAAAGAACATTTGAAATAGAGTTTAAGGGTCTGTCTTGTCTTACACTCTTACATATTTTCAATATCTTTTAAGTAACTGAGTAGGGTGATGCTGTAGTGGTACACTCTGTAAACTCTCTGAAGTATGGGGTCCAAATCTGAAATAATAGCACTGCATTTGAGAGAAGGTCTGAGCGATGTGAGGTAATGGAAAGGCAAAGAACAAATCTGTTTAGGGCAGAAAAAGATTGCTGGGTATTTTCAGCTTTTTTTATTGGCCTTTTACATTTGATAAAACAGAACCACTTTTTATTAGCAACCATAAGAACTTACAGTAATAGAAGTATTTCAATATGTAAATACATGTATATAAAAAAGGTTTAGTTGTTACGAGGTCAGAAGGAGTCTGTATATGTACAACAGTGAAAGCTATACTGAGGACAGACTTTTGGAAGGAAAAGCTTTCAGTCAAATTACTTTTTAAACATTTTGAGTTTTTAGTAAAAGGATTTTTTTTCTGAGCTAAAAAGTTTTTTTCTGAGCTTAAGTATAATTAATCCTGTTGCAGTACCATGAGGTGGGTAAATGATCTTGAGGCCCCCTTCAGTGCTTTAAGTCACTGAGGAATTATGTTGGTTTTTTTTTCATGCAGATAACAAATTTTAAAAAAAGGCTTGGAACAGAATTAGCTTCTGATAACGTACAATGACTGCTCAATGGAATACATGAGGTCTTATCTATCTTTAGCCTGTTTTTCCTAAAGAAGTAATTGTGGTGTAGGTTCAGCTCTGGGGGAAGGGAGGAGAAGGAGAAAGTAGTTCAAAAAGTGTTTGATCTACACATCAGATTTAAACATGTAAAGCCAGAATGCATTTTCCTTGTATAGAAGGTGGGAGTTGCACTAAATATGAAAACAAGTAGTTTCTGGCAAACATGGACATTGTAAAAGATGTTGTTTAAGTATTTTAATGATTTGGATGAACAAAACATTTTAGGAAATTAAAGAATAGAAGTTCATAAGAGTCAGTAATACTCCTAAACAGACTGTATTCTCATTAGAAGGCATATTTGGCTTGAATATTACAGTGCATATGATGAAATACTGAAACATTGCTCAGCAACTGGGATTTGGACTTTGAGTGGCAATGACATATGAACCCCTGCATGGTTTTAAAGTGTGCTATTTTTGGTAGTTGGGTGTTGGCTTGTCTCCTCAGTAGCCATAGAAAGTTAGTGTAAAGAGGAAGGTGATTTGCAATGAGAAGACCCTCTGGCACTACTTATTAAACATGGGCTGCTGCTTCAGTAAAGAATTGAGTAACAGCACGAGTGAGGAGAAAACCAGCTTGTTACAAAAATCTGTGGAAGAGGAAGCACCAAAGTCAAGGATAAGTAAAACTTTATCTTCAATTTTTGGAACTGTGAAAAGCCAGGATCTGCATACAGTGGGAAGGACAGTTAATGGGGCAGCTGTGACAGTCAGCATTGAACGTGTTTGTAGTGATGATTGCGCAGTGTCAGATTCTAAATCTGGTTTTTGGGGTAGAAAAGGAAAATATTCGTCATATAACAGCATGGGGAATACTCCCCACGCGAGCCCTAGGAGGACGTATGGCAGACCTTTTAGCTTCTTTAATTCCTTTAGTCACCTCTTGAAAGTCTCTGGTACGTATGGAAATCTGCAGAGAAGTGAAGAAAAGAAAGATAAGATTATTAAAAAAAGAGCACCTAAAAAACTTAATAGTAATGGTCAGCATGTGAACAATATAGAAAAGAATAATAGCAATATTAATAATGAAAATGCAGCTTCACAAGAGCATTGCTTGTTTGATCATATTTCTAATTCACATGTAGCAGATATCGTAGACAAAGGCTTACAGAGTGAAATTTCCTTAAATAGAAATTCCCTGGAGGATTATGCACTTACATGTGACCATTCAAGGCAAAATGAAACAACAGTAAATGCTGAAGACAGCAAGAGTGACAGCTTACAGAAAGTTTCAAGTTCATATAGAGAGTTGTCTTCAACATTTTCCTGTCTTGATGTAGACAACAGTCAAAATGTGAAAGACAAGGAGTTTTACAGCATTTGTGTTGTAGATGCCGAAGATCTGAAAGGGGATGAAGAGGTGCCAGCTACTGTGCATGAAGAGCCTGCAGCAGACGTAGATAACTCAGCTGTTACTGATGAAGGAATGTGCACCATGGCACGACCTCTAGACAGAGGGAAGGAATTTCCAGTGCAACAATTGGCACAAGTGGAAGCTAAGTTTAATTCACAGAAAGAACTGTTTGAGTATAAAAAAGAGGATAGATCAAACATGGAGAAAAAGGATACAAAGGAATATTGTAGCCTAGACATCCAGTGTTCTTTTGATAACTTACTGACTGACAGGTGTCAGGTGCAGAGGTTAAATACTGACAGTACAGTAACAGATGCATTAAAAGCAAAAGTGCCTGGTGAAATCATCCCTGAGAATCAGCAAGAGGAGGTATATATCATGGGTAGTGCTGCCAGTTGGAATGAACCACTGCATACTGCTTGTGATTCTGTAAAGCCTGTGGATGCTGCTGGAGAGGACCAATACAGCCCTAACTCAGAAAAAGTGAAAAACAGTGATAATATTTCCAGTGTATTGTTAAACGCTGGAGTATCTAATTCAGGAAAAACTGAGGGAAGTAATCATTCTGATGTTGTACCACTTGTTGTGCCACTAACTAGGCATCCCTCAAGTGTAGAGCAAATAAATACTAAACAGGTGGTAGACAGCATAGGGGGTAAATTTAAATTATTGCTAGAGTTTCATGAAATGGACGAAGTAGAAAAACTTGATGAAGAAGTCTGCTTTCTAGAGCCAGAAAGTGAACTAAACTCAAATGTGGAAAAGAAAACACTTGAAAGAACATATGGTGATAGCCAAACATTTTCACCAGACTGTAGTGAACATCACAGCAGTTTTGAAGAATCCTTGAAAGAGGGAGAGGAATGCACTGGTACAGTTTTGCATAGCTGTGAAGCTTTGAACATGACTGAAACACAGCTAAACTTGGAGGAAGGCTCTGATTTTCAAACTCCCATCAAGGGTTGTACTGAAATCAGAGCATCATCTGAAGCTGCAATCCACAGTGGCATGGAGCAGGATGTCTGTGTGAGTGCCACTGAACTAAAAGGTGACTTTCTTGAGGAAGCTGGTAACTTGAGCAGAACTAGATCAGGGATAAGTGATGGTGCTGTGACATCTCATGCACATAATCCAAGCACAGATGAAATGTTCCTAAAGGAAAACAGCCTAGAGTGTCAGGTTTCACAAGAGTTAGTAGAGAATAAAGGTAAAGTGTGCAAATATTCAAATTCAGATAACAAAACCAGTGTCTCTTCTGTGGAATGTGAGCATGTGAATATAATAGACATGAACAGCAGACAAGATGAACAACAGGATGTGTGTTCCTTCCACACAGTGGGAAATCAATGGACTGCAGAGACTGAGTCAGGTAAAATATCTGGGCATGTAGTAGAATCTGTAAAACAGACAAAATTTGAAAGTCAACTAAATAAGTCCATTGATAACAAGGCAGAAAATGTAAAACAGTATCTGGATGCTAACATTGTTGATTGTGATAAAGACATCTTCAGTTGCAGTGAAGCCTTGCCTGACAGTCAGAATGCTCCCTCTGACTCCACTGTACCTGCAGTCACAGACAGTTGTATGTACAGGAGGGTAAAATTAAAAGATGCCACTAAAAATCTGGAAGATGCCAATAAACTCTTAAATAAGGACTGTAACTTTTTGCCTGTATTGTGTCAAAATGCATGTTCTCATGAGCATGACAAACCAGCAGAAGAGCCTCAGTTGTGTCACTGTGCCAGTCCAGAGCCAGGAGTTGGGAACACTCAAGTTTCTATTGGGTCTTTTACTGAGGAACGACCAGAAATTAATGAAAAAAGTATGTGTGATATAAATGAATGTAATCTCCAGGATGGTGAAGTAAACCGGTGTGCCAGCATCCACGCAAATGAGAACCTCACTGGTTTTGGTTTATCAGCTGAGAATCTAGAACCTTTTACCAAGGGGAATTTGAAGCAGTTACAAGCCAAGACTACTGAGCTGAAAAACACCAGTTACATATTAAATACTCAGATGAATGACTTGACCACAAGCTGGGAACAGATGCAGCCAGATCACAGGATTTTCTCAAACAAAGAGCTTGGAGTTTGTGTTGACCCAAAGCAGGTAGACAAATATGCTGCTACTCCTTCCTATGAAATACCCAGTGCCTCTCCTGGTGCAGCAGGATTTCAGCAAGGCAGAGAGCAGTGCGTGTTAGGTCTGATGGCAGATGGATCAAGTGACCAGAAGCAGTCCTGTGACCTGGACGGACAAAATCCCCACGTTGAAATGTGGTCACATTTCATCAATCTTCAGGCTGGCAATGCTGATTGGACAAATCAACTGCTTTCTGACACGGTTCCTTCTGGTAATGGTGAATATCTAGTAGGCTTTTTATGGAATAATGCAGCTTCTAATGATAACATGAAGAATGACAGACTGTGTATAGTTAATGGAAACTTCCAGAATGAACCTGAAAATTTAACAAGTGCTTCATATGCAGTGGAAACATACCCATATCAGCTGCTAGCACCGGAATATGCTGGTACGTGGGGATGGCACAATAAAGATGAACTTGTAAGTATTCTGCAGAAGTGATTTGCTCTTAAAGCTGAAGCTAACAGTTTGACTAGGCCAAGTCAAATTTTGGTTTCATTACTTAAATAGATGTTTTGTCCTGAACCTGATGACTTCCTTTCCTTTGAAAAACCGAATGCTGTATAAAATGGAGAAGTAAAAGATTTTGATGAATATTGATTTTTTTTTTCTGTTTACTTTGTGTAATAGTTCTGTGATTGGCAAAGTAACTTGATTGCAGGTTTTCAGTTTCAACTGAACTTAAGATAAACAGTGTGCAGAAAGGAAGCTTGCTACCAACCATTCTTGACTCTTTAGCTTTGTATAGGAAGAAATGTTTGTGGGTTTCCCAAAGCTCTTGTTTGGTAGCAATTAGGAAATCTTTTCCTCACTGCTGGAGGTAAGTAGTGCTGTAGAGAAGAGTGGCTGCAGAAGTAAGAGGAAAGAGCTAGGCTGGATCTTGTCTAGCTAGGCTAAGAAACAAGTGAAGATGTCTGGACACAATCCTGAGCTGCTTTGTGGACCCTGCTGAGGCAGGGAGGTTGGGCTGGATGACCTCCAGTGGTCCCCTCCAGCCTTACCCACTCTGCAGAAGTCAACCTGTAGCAGCTGCTGCTCCTTTTCCTTCCCTGCTGAGTTTCTCTGAAATTTTTCCCCTCACTGGCTGTGTTGGAGCAGCTGCTCTGACCTTGCCCAGCACTTGCAGTGTGGGCAGTGGATTGTTTTCAAGGCTGTTTGCTGTCTCCTGAGGGAACTTCTTGTATTAAAAACGGAAACTGATATGGATTTTGCTGTCATCTTTGAATCTTATTATTCAAGTAGTTATGTCAAGCACTTCCACTTTTTGTAAGTCTTACCTGTCATGCAAGAGAAGTGTTTAAGTAAATTTTTAAAGTTTTTTTTAAATTTTTCTGGATATATTTTCAGTGCACTGTGATAATAAGTATTTGAATGTGTGTGTTTAAGAAGATTTAAAGCTTTGTGGGATTTTGGAGTGCCTGTCTTTAAATAACAGTGTAATGTTCCTAGCATCTGTAAATTTAGAAAACAAATTTTTAATACGCTTTTTTAGTGTGTCTTATGATGAGCAGTATTTTTTTCCCAGTGTAATTATATCAAAACACTTGACATATCTTCTTGGTGTGGAATAACTCAATGCATTTTTCTCAAACATAAGCAAAACAAGTCTCATGTTACTCTAAAAAAGTGTTGTAGTAGATGTTTGCACTGCAGAGAGCCATCTCTCTGAAGCATAGATGTAACCATGTATGTGAAGGTTGTATATAACCATATGTCATCATTAAATGTGTCCATTTCCAATCCAGGTTAAAAGAGATTATCTTAAGATGATTTAACTGGATATGGTTATTCATCCTTTTTGTCCTAATGCTCTGTTCCTCCTCTAAATGTAGTAACAGAAGTTGTAATGCACATCTTACTACTTTCAGTTTTCCATAATGTCATTAAAACTGTTACATGCTTATATAATTTCAGAAAAATCCCTGTACTTTTGTATTTTCTTTATATTTTTAAGTATTATTTTGCAGATAGGATAGATACAGATCTAACATCTGTTAGATTGATCTACAGATACAAATGTAACATATATAGCAATACAATCAACATCAAGAAGACGTGTATTAGAGAACTGCCTGAAGTCTAGGTCAAGTGCAGGCTGAGTTAGTCTGTCAAAGGCAAAGAGTGAAATGTTTGTTGTCATTTGCTCTGCTTGGATAACCTTTTCTGGTGGTTCATAATCAGGGAAATGAATACTGTGCACCATAATAGTTGTGTTTATACCTGAAATGATTATGGGAACTCAGTTAATATATTCAGGTGTGAAAAACCATGACAGTAAAATCTTGAGTTGTATGTCTGATACTGTTATTTGAGACTGAATATATCTGTGCACCAGATGCCTGCTGTGCATCCCTGAAATCATAATCAATTTATTTTTGCAGGAGTCAACCAAGGTTTCTGAGTTAAACCCCAATGCAAAGGTGTGGGGAAATCATATGTTACACTTGGAAGCAAGTGGTGCCGCTGATGGTAGTGTGAGCAAAACGTGGGAAGAAATACCTGACCAGCCTCCAGATTCCTGTAAAGAAGGTACGAATAAGAGTTTCTGGCTGTTGCTCAAGCAGAAGCCAGAATTCAGTGCAGCCCTATCTCGATTTTAATTTTCTGTTAAAAAATGTAAAGCAAGTATGTAAGCACCTTTATTTCAGATGTAGTTTTAACTCTGGCATTACTATGATTAGAAAGAGCACTTTTGAGTGTGTGTGTGTGGCGTGTGCTGCAGGACTGGATGCCAATGGCGACGGTGACAAAAAGCATCAGAATGCGGTGCTGCCGGAGCTGCCGGAGCCGAACCCAGCCGTTCCGGGCTCAGAGCAGGCGGACATGAACCCTTTGGCTCTCGATCATTCCGAGTATGAGTCTATGCACGAAACCACCCAGACAGGTCAGAGAAAGCGAAGATGTGCTTGGACTTAGTTTAAAAACTAAACACGTATTTTGAGTTGAACAGCGAGCATCCGAAAAACAAAAAAAGCCCCCCGAACTATACCAGTTTTCTCATTCAATATATGCGTTCTTTAAAGAGACCCTGGGAATTCCTGTCTGTTTTGCAGTCAGACTTGGGCATGTTTAGACACCAGTCTCCTGGTTTAAATCTTACAAGGTTCTGCCCAGAATCTAGTGTTTCTGGTTGGGTCTGGTACTGAGGTGAGATTCACATACAGTTTGTGACTCAAGTAGTAATGTTAATGTGGGGAAAGACCCGTTTTGTACTTGAAATGCTAAAAGAAGCAACATTTTAGTATTAACTTCTTCACATTCTTATTTAATCAACTTCCAGAATTTCTCTTCAGTGCAACTGTTAGAAGCTGTAGTCTATACCAGATGGTGTGTTTTAAGAAGCTTCTGGAAACTAGCGTAGAGTTTCACCACGCTGATATTTCATTGAATGGGACAGAAGGTCTGCAAGATGCATGTAGGATTACTACTTGAACTGAGATGAGGGGTGGGAAGGAGAGGAAAATGTGCTGGGTGTTTCTTGAGATTCATGATAGGTCTGTTCATTGTGCTTAGCTGATTTTGTATTTAAAATTACCAGTATAGCATCCATAATAGCTGCAAATCAAGGCAACTGAAATCAGAAAATCAGACATCGTTGTGGCATCATCTTAGCTTATATTTGAAAACTGAAAGTTCTCATTGACTTCTACTTAAGTGTAATATTGGGGAGTATTAAATAGTAACTAGCTGGCAAATAGAAAATTGTATTAATGGTGCCTCACACTCTAGAAGGGAGCAGCATTCTTCAGATTAATGCTGGAACTTGTCAGTGTGTCCTTTATGTGCCCAAAACAGTTAACTTTTAACAAGAGTTCACGGTGTTGTAAAGAGCTGAACAGCAGATTGGGTCTGTTCCACTTGAGGAATGGTGACACATGGTCCCAAGTCTGAAATCTGATAATTCATTTTTTAATAATTATTTTTAAAAATGCATATAAAAGGAAATGCGGTTAGAACGTGATACATGTATTTCTCAGGTGTTGGTGTTCTCTTCATCAGAGTAGAAAACGTGGAGGACAGCATGGTGGGAGAAAATTACAAGTTGCTTTAGGAAGAAGAAAGTCTAAGGAGAGCTGAAAAAAAGGATGAAAGTTAGTGAAGGGAAAGGGGTATAGAGGACAATAGTTGGTGTGAAATACTTCTAAAAATTCTTCTAATACTTCTAATTTACATACATATAGTATGTAAATTTACATACATATAGTGAACAATGTGCTGCTAAATGTTTTGCAAATCTCCAAAGGCCACACAAAACTTGTACTCTTTAAACACTTCTCCCACTGACACAATGAGTTTACCCTCTACTGACATTGGTATATAGTGTCTAAACTAGAAGGAACATCAAGTTCCTGTTTTCCATGTGATAATTTTTAAGCTTCCACATATAAGAAATAAATTAATTTTGGCTTCTTAACCAAAAGGTTAAGTATGTAAATTGATTGCATATGTAAATTGATTGCATATCTGTTGTTAGTAGGTTGGATTTCTGCTGATATTCCATAACTATATTTTTGAAAATCTCTGAATTACTGTGTTGGTAATTTAGAGTGAGACAGGGAGTATGGAGTGCCTCCATTGCATTGTTCCCTTGCATTGCATTAGTCAGGGTTTCATCAGCTAGAAATTGATTACTTTCCTGAGAATGGAGCACAGATCTATGAGCCAAATCACTTCAGTGTTTATTTTGACATGTGCTTGTAGCTGTCCTAAAAGTGCTTCAGATTTTTATGTATTTGGAGAACAGAGTAAAGTCAGACATGGTTTCTCTTTTCTGTCTCAAAAAAAAAAAGTGTTGCCATGCAATTTCACGGGTTGGTAACTAATACATAATGAGGTTCTATTGAGTTTGAAAATTTGTTACTAGTTAAGTAGTCAGTAATAGACATGATGGCTTGTTTAAAATAGATATTGTGTAATATAGCAGAGCTACTTTTTAATTTGAAGTATTTTAATTATTAGGTGGAAACGAACAGTTGCAGCCAGAAGGTCAGGAAGATTTACGAGAATTACTGAAAAAGACACTGGAATTCTGTTTATCTAGGTAGGTATTTACCTAAATGTACCAAACTGGAGGATGACTAACAGCTTGGGATGTATGTTAATACATTTCTTAGTTGTTACTTAAAACTGAGTGGAAAGGATGAGAATTTAGAAAAAGTAACACACAAATTTCAGAGTGTTGTGTTGATGTACCTCTTAAAGCTTACCTGAAACCTCTGTGCCTAATGCATAAAGTAGCAAATATATGGGTTTGAAATGAGAGTAGTTACAAGCAATTACAATCAGGCGAATTTTTGTGATCTTACTGGTCATAATTAAAACTGAGTATTTAAGCCATTTAGCAAGCTTTAAGCCAGTGATTTTCATTAATTAGCAAAAATGCTGAAGGAATCTGCCTTCTATGTGATGAATTTTTGTCTTAAGTTTATTGGACAAAGTTAATCTGTGACATTTCCCTATTTTTTTTCTCCCAACAGAGAAAATCTTGCCAGTGACATGTACCTTATATCACAGATGGACAGTGATCAGTATGTGCCAATAATGACAGTAGCAAATCTTGATCATGTCAAGAAACTCAGTACTGATATGGATTTGATTGTTGAAGTGCTGAGATGTAAGTAGGAGTTCCTCAGTGCTAGAAAGCATTTGGGTTATTGGTATGGAACTATTAATCTAAATTTTTAATCTCTTCTTTCTTACTATATTGCAGTAAAATGCCATTATTTTTCTGTACAGCCTTAAGTAGCCCAAGCAGCTCAGATCATCACAGTTATAGGACTGTACTTTTATCAAAGCTACTCTGTATTCCAGATATTGAATAATGATCTATGCACATGAGAATTAATGATTTTAAATTGTGGGATGTGGTGGGACAATTCATGTGACTAGAGGATCATGGTGGATATCTCTAGACTGTTCTGTAAAGACAGGTGGGGAGAAAGGGATGGAGGAGTCTCACTCTGTTAAGGAGAACCTTGAATGGATAGAAATCAACTGCATCAGTCATGGAAGCTCTAGGAGTACCTGCGGGCCAAGACCCTGGGGGGTGTTTCCAAGGGGGATCTTATAGCTGGCATCTGCTGCTGACCTAAACCAGGACAATAAGGCCAGCAGAACAATATTTGTGTCACTTAAGCGAGCTTTGGGTCAGCCAAACCCAGTTCTTACACTTTATTTCAATGGCTTTGATATTTGTTGGAAGAACAATACAGCAGCTCCTGTCATCCATCAAGTTTCTGGAACATGCAGAGGATTGTTTCCTCATACAAGTGTTGGATGTGCCAAGGAATGAGGCACTGCTGGACTCACAGCTCAGAAACTGAGAAAACCTGCTTTGTGTATCTCAGTCAGTGGAAGCCTTGGCTGCACCAGTCATAGAACTGTGGTGTTTGGGGTCGTGCTGAGCACACTGAGCATTTCTAAGGTCTTACATTTTGCAAGAACAAACTTCAGCTTGCTCAGAGCACAGTTGGGAAGAATTCTGTGGGAAGCTTCCATGGAGGATAAAGGCACTAACTGTACTAGTGCTGGGAGTTCTCTCCTGGAAGCACGAAAACATTTCATCCCCTGTAAAGGTAAGGGAAGTAGGTGGATCAAGAGACCCCCTTGGCTTAACTTTGTACTTCTGTGTCTGCTTAAAACAGGAGAGAGGCATACCAGAGATGGAAAAGTGAATGAATACCTGGTGAGAGCTACAAGGGCATTGCCAAGGTGTGCAGAGATGCAGTTATAAATGGAGAACCTCAGCTTAGAATGAATTTGGTCAAAGCTACAAGTTTTGTAAAATATTAGAAAGGGTTCTTTGGGCATGTAAATGATGAACAGAGACATCGTCTGCTTGTTTCTTAAACTTCAAAAATGTTTGAGGCTCTGCATTATAATTCTATATTCACAGCATCTTTTGGAGTGCAAAGCTACTAAGTTTGTTGACAGCTAAAATGCATTCTTGTCTTCTCTTTCTTAGCGTTGCCTTTAGTTCAAGTGGATGAAAAGGGGGAAAAAGTTCGGCCAAATCAGAATCGCTGTATTGTGATTTTACGTGAAGTACCTGAATCTACTCCCATTGAAGTAAGTGTTCCCTTGTTCAGTAAAGAACACTTGTACCTTAGGACTTGGAAGTTATTTCTAGATTTTTTCTACATTTCAATAAGCACATCACATTTTTTTATTGCACTGTTAGTTTCTAACAGAACTTCTTAAACTTAGTTTATTGTCTTTGTTTGGATAAGAAATATTTTTGGTAGATACGTGTTGCTCATAGCATGGCTGTGGTAGAACCTTTAGTTCTGCAGAGGTCTGAGGAACTGATAGTGTTGTCTTTGGTAAAGATACATCATTTTCTTGGGCTTTGTCCTACTTATATGCACTTGGTGCTCAGATCCTTGAATAAATAGACAAAGATGAAAGAAGACAAATCTTAGACTAGAAAATGCCACTGTTGCCCCTTGAAGCTTGCTCAAGTAAAGTATTTAAAGCTTTGTAAATGTTTCCATAATGCTGAGGTGAGAGGTGTCAGTAAATCACTAAGGATCTCCATTGGGTTGTGGGATGAGTGCAAGACTGGAGAACGTCATTCTTTGAAAGATACTTAATACCACTCTGATGAAGCAGGGACTATGTCTGATGGAATATTAGAAAATATTATGGGGTCGTAATTAAAACATCTTGAATTTTGAAAAAGGAGAAAGGTGCAGATTCTTGATGATGCATATATATTTTAGTTTCTCTCCTATTTAATTTTACAAGGAAGACTAAAGATTCTGAAAGAGTTGCTCCTCTTAATAACCATCATACAAAAATCAGAAGTACTGCAGTTTAGAAACTGGTAACAAAAAAGTAAGTGGCCTTAATAAACAGGAACATGAAACAAAATGCTAAAAGGCATTGGAGGGGAAAAGTTGGATATATGCTTTGTACATAGATTTAAAATAGTGGCTACTTCTAGCTTTCCAATGAAATGTAGCTTTACAAAGACTGACTAACTTTTAGTGTTGATTTTTTTTTTCTGTCATGAGTTCATCAGGTTGGATATATTAGCACTGGATGTTCACTCTTAAATGTTTGACAACAAAGTTCTGAGGGGTCTTTATTTTCAGAAGAGTTGGTCTCCAGTGAAATGTTTTATACATTGTGTTTAAATTTGTTGTGCTGGAAAAATCTGGACTTAACTAACCAGATTTAATACCCTATGTTTTCTAGCACAGCAGAGTCAGGCTTTATTTAAGCAGCGAAATTCCAAGATGCTGTAAGCCTCCCAAGTTGTGTTGCCTTTTGGTGCTGCTTACCTCAAATCTGTGACAAAACAAAAAATATGCAAATGAATTAAAACAAAAAATCCAGGGTCTGTTTTTTTTTGTAGAAACTAGCCAGTTATGTTTGAGGTAACATAAGCCCTGTTTCAAATACATGAATCTGTAGACATTAGAGTAAAAGTTTACTTGCAGGTTTCTGCTGAAAAGGCAGGATTTTCCTGTCCGTGCCACATGCATGTGGATCCATGGTTTTGGGGACAGGGGAGAAATAGACATATTTCTGCACTTGATACCAAGTTTAAATGTCTTCTCCGGCCTAAATAGCTCCCAGCTAACCTCTCTTGCAGTATGGCCTTAGGTAGTGCTAGTTTTAGTTCTTCCAGGGGGAGATTGGAGAGGGCTGACACTACTGCAGGTGTTCTGAACTACTCGGTTATGTTTTGTAAGCCCAACAGTGCTTTCTGTCTTTCTTTCTCAGTGTCAAGAGTTTTGCATTTTACATTGATGTTTTCTTCTCTCCATCCTTCCCCCCTCACCTCCCCACCTCCTTATCAAACCACTTTCCCCAGGAGGTTGAAGCACTTTTCAAAGGAGACAATTTGCCTAAGTTCATCAACTGTGAGTTTGCCTATAATGACAATTGGTTCATCACATTTGAATCGGAAGCTGATGCACAGCAGGTAATTGTTGCTGATTCTTCTCCGTGTGTAGAAACACGAGGCTTAACTCTATTTCAGAAGATTGATTTATTATGTTAAATATTATATTAAAATGTTACATTAAAACTATACTAAAAAAAACAAAGAGATCAGAAGGCTACAACAAAAATAGAATAAAACAGAATAACAAAAATCCTGTGACTGATCACAGCCTTAGCACAGGTGGCTGTGATTGGTCATCAATAAAAAACAATCCACATGGACCAATCACAGATGCACCTGTTGCATTCCACAGCAGCAAATAGTAATTGTTTACATTTCTCTCCTGAGGCTCCTCAGCTTCTCAGGAGAGGAAAAATCCCAGCAAAGGATTTTCCATAATATCATAGCTACAGGTAATGCTGTTTTTTGAAGCATATTAGAATGTAAAAGTAAATAAGGATGATATGAAGATGATTTGACAGGTAGTAAACTGTATTACACATGTGTAACAACTTAAAGAGAAAAATACCCCAAACTGTAAAAACAGTAATGCTGCTTCCCCTTAGGTAGTATCCAGTTTTTAGTAGCTATTAAACATAACACTTAAAAGGTTTTTTTATCTTGTTCATATATCTTGGCTTCCTGGCTAAAGCTATGATTTTTTTGTACTGAGAGTTGGTTTTTAGTGACACATTGAAATGCTTCAATCATAACCATTAGAGTCTTGTGTTCATGCTACTGAAGCACTTAATGATAATTTAAATGTTGCTAAATGCGGGTGATGTATGAGAGTTTGCTATACTGTAACATTAGCAGACACTCCAAGAATTATTGTTAGCCTTAGGCTGTCAAAACTTAAGTTTCCTTTATTTAAATTACATTTGACAAATCTAACAATTTCTTTTTTATAAAGGCTTACAGATACCTTAGAGAAGAAGTGAAGACTTTCCAAGGAAAACCAATTAAGGTAAATAGGGGTTTATGATGTTAGGGGTGGGGGTGTGCGTGTCTTCTGGGTTTTGTGGTGCTCACTGTGATTTCTAATATAAATTTAAATGGTCCAAGCTCAGCAGTTGTTTGATGTGGAGGTGGGTTTAGAAATCTAGCACATACAACTACCTCTCCTCTTCCTCATTTCTGGCAGTGCTATATCCAGCCCAGCAGCAGGCAGCAGGGAAGCATTCAGCTGTTCCTGCTGTCCTTGAAGGACAAAGCAGTGACTGATAAGTGTCCAGTAAAAGTTTGAGAGCTGCTAATTTGAGCCATCCTCATTTAATTTGAAAGACTGCTGTAATAAATAATCTAATCTCCTTTGCAGGCAAGGATAAAAGCAAAGGCAATAGCTATAAACACATTTTTGCCAAAGAATGGATATAGACCTCTGGATATGAACCTCTACACACAGCAGCGCTACACAACATCCTTTTACATACCTCCAGTATACAGTCCCCAGCAGCACTTCCCACTGTACAGCTTAATTGGCCCACAGACCTGGTCAGCCACACACAGCTACCTTGACCCTTCATTGGTAAGTCTCTTGATTCTGAAACAGTTGTGTTCTTTTCTAAGCTGATATTATTTTCTTATTGAAGTGTAGGAAACCTACCTATCCTGAAGAGGGAAGTTTAAGATTCCGGTTCTTCTTGAAAAACAGTCCTTCAAAATCCTTGCCATAGTGTGCAAGATGGATTATTTGAAAATTGTGTCTGATTTCAGACTGAAGTGTGATTCTCTTCTTAAACCTTTTAGGTTTTGAGGCAGTTCCTTAGTAAAGACTTGCCAAGATACCAAGATCTTCTAACAGGAAGTTAGGTTAACATGCTGAATTGCTCTGTTTGGCATGTTCTTAAAGCAGAATATTTTCTGTGCAATAATAGCATCTCTTTTGGCAATGAAAAGTGTAATTAGCAAAAGCAATTTCAAAAATCAATTTTAAATCGCTTTTTAAGTTATTTTCTTAAAGGGGCTGTTGGTAAGGCTTGAAGCTAGGGTGGTAGCAATAAATCCATAAATACTCTAATGAGATATCTGCTGTATCCTGCAATGCTGCTTCTGTCTTCTGCATTGTGACAGTCTCATCAGAATTACCTTGGCCCCTTTTAGTTGGCCTTTGTTACCCTACAAATACGTGGAGTTTCCTGTAATGACTGGGAGGCTCAGGTTTCCTATCTGAAGCCTCTTTCTCCCCTCTGGAGATGCCTCTTTACTTGTGGCTCAAAGAAATGAGGGGAGTAATGCTCAAAATTAGAAGTTCTTTAGATGTTTTTTTTGGCAGAGGATTAAAGTGTCCTTGAACAAACTTGTGCAAACATCCTCTGTACTGAGCCACAGCTAATTAAAAAGTTGGTGTGCTAAACACTTCACACACAGGGAAGGGAACCCGAGGTCTTGCAGGGGGAGGCAATCTGGGGGTTGTTGAAAATGTGGAGGAGACAAGGTAACACAGTGAGCAGTGTTAATCCAGGAAAAAACTGTCTTGTTAAGCAGCAATGAATATGAATCTGCCTGTAGCTAGACTAAGACTATTGCGCAGTCTTCCTCTGGGATGCTGGAGGAGCTGGATGGGAATAGTGTAGAAGACACAGATTAGTAAACCACAGGTTCAAGCACATCATACTGTGTATCTACCTTATGTTATCCTGTAACTTTTTGTATCCAAGAAAGCTTACTAGTCATATCCTTTGGGAAAGACTTGATGAGTTTGCTAGCATTAAAGACCACGAACTTTTCTTAGTCAAAACAGGAAGTCAACTGTCTGTGCTTTGCTTTTCACTGTTCTGCAGTGTATTGTCATTGGTTAGCTGCATTTTATATACATGACTGTAACATGATGTTTCTTGATTCTTTTGTAGGAAGAGCTATATTTGAATAGAAATCACTTGAGGAGAACAGGGACCATGAGGAACCATGACACAGCAATAATTTTCATGAGACAGGGTTGCAGTTTGCATGTAGAGACTTGTGTGAAAATACAGCAAAGTTTTTCTATTCTGCTTCAACATAAACTCTACTGTCTCCCATCTCTAACTAGAGATTGAATACCCCAGTCATGTGGGCAATACCATCTTAATTCTGAAACTTGAGTATGGAAACACATGTCCTCAGGATTCTAAAACTACCTCATTCTTCATCATGTACTTAAATTGTATTTGAGAAAAGATCTAGTTTTTCCTGTTTGGGAAAAAAAAAAAGAAATTGAAAAGAAAGTATATTTGAACCAGTTGACTTCTGTGAATGCTTTTGGTATTATTGGAAAACGGGGAAAATATTTTTTTTCCTCCAAAAGGATCGCACATCATTATAAAGAAAGAATAGTTGAATATTGCTAGGGTCTCTAATATGTTCAGAGTCTTCTCATTTTTCAGGTTCAGTGATTTCTTACTAGCTTTGATGGAATTTTGCAGCATTCATGTTGTAACTCTTAAACCAGAAACACTTCAAAGCATTATTTTGATGAAACTTTGTTCCTCAAGGAGCTTTGTCACAGGCCTTCTGTAATGGCCTTTTTCTGAAGCCTGAGGTAGCATTTGCTGTCATGCATGCTAGGTTAGGCTAGCAGTAGTTTTGATATGACAGCTTTGGTGTTAAATTTTGTTTTCCATTGATTAGTGATTTAACTTGCACAAGAAACCTTTTTCAAGTTTAAATGTACCTTTATACCAAATGGTCTTAATCACAGCTGTTTATTAATGCTTAATAGAATGTAGAAAGAATCTTTTTGTTCTGCATCGTAGTTATTTTCGGGGGAAAATACAAGCAAGCATTTGCTGGTTCTAACAGTAACATTCCTTAAATGAAACTCAGACATTTAAATAAAAAAGTGTGCTAGTGAGGTTGGGGAAATTACTTTGAACATGCTTCAGGTTTTGAGGCATCTTGTTACTACAAGGCGTTAGTATGCACCCACCCCAGAAAATGTTTCAGTAATGTTTCTTCAGACAAGTGCTTCACATGTAGAATAAGATGGTAAAATCTGAAAAGCATCAGAGTTGCACTTAACATCCACTTATTCTCTAGGCTTTATTTAGATGTCACATGGAAGTAGAATGAGGAACTAAAAGGAAGTTGTTGGGTTTTTTTAAGGGAGGAATTCACATACAGTTATAAGAGAAACAGTTACAGGCCATGTAGATTAGAGGCTCTGACAAAGAAGTATCTTGGTACTCCACAGTCATGCGTAGTGTGGTGTGAAATAGGAGGAGAGCTGTTTAACTTACAGCCAAGAATTTTGGCTTGATGTTTTTCAATCCTCTTGAACTATGATAAGTTGAATATGTGTAGTGGCTGACTTCTCAGAAAAAGAGAAGCTTGGGGTTTTTCCAGAAATTGTGTGAGTCAGCTACAAGGCACTAGACAAATTCTCTATTGCTCTTTGAGGCAGTCTTTTGAGTACTGTCCTGCACAGAATGACATAAAATATGGGGTTAAGAAAAGTAATACTCAGTTTGTTTATAATGGTGCACATGCGATACATTTTTTTTAGGTAACACCATTTCCAAATACTGGATTTATCAACGGGTTCACATCTCCAACCTTCAAGCCTGCTGCTTCTCCACTCACAACACTCAGACAATATCCTCCCAGGAACAGGCAAGTTAATCTATCTTCTTACAATACTGTTGTATTATCTGGCACATGGGGTTTTCATCTGCTTATTTTAGTAACACCAGCTAACTTGAGAATACTTGTGAAACTGAACCTGGTGCCAAAGGTAAGGCCGTAGGGCAGATGGTACCCGTGATGTTAATGGATGCAGTGTTTTGAAATGTAAATGGACAGTATGAAAGCTGAGAACTTGTCTGTTCTGTGATTTAGGGTATTCAGTTGAAATCTTCTGAGAGATGACGTGACATCAGCAGGATTATTTATATAGTAAAGCTCTAGTTGAAAACAGACAGGGAAAAAGTTAATTTTGATAATTCACATGACCTGTTACAATGAATGTTGATCATTCTTATAAATGAAATAAGTGATAAAGGACTGAAGATCTTGCTTCTTCTGAATTCTGTGAATAGGCTTAGGCCTCAGAAGGTCTCTGATAGTGCGCGTGTGTTGAAATGACTTTTGAATTTATAGGAATCCTAGCAAGTCACATATACGACATACAATACCCAGTGCAGAAAGGGGACCTGGGCTTCTAGACAGTCCTACAATATTCAACTTTTCTGCTGATCGTTTAATCAATGGCGTCAGGAGTCCACAGACGCGGCAGCCGGGACAAAGCAGGACACGGGTGCAGAGCGCTACCAGCAGTTACACCAAGAGGGAAGTGGGAACCGGCCGGGTGGAACAGACCAGCGTTGACTCGTCCCCTGGATTAGGGAGAGGAAGGTGAGTCTGCTCCGTGGTTGTCCTCTGAACGGGCAAGCACTGCTGCTTCTGAACTGCTCTGTTTAGGGGAGGTGTGGTACTGTTACTGTTCTCAATACTGCTTTAAACTCAGACTCTCTCCGCAAACTTAAAATCTTGCAAAGTACTTCACAGAAAGTGTTAAATACAGAGCAAAGGCAAAGCAGACTTGCATACTTCCCTGCCAGATGAAAATTATTGGCAACTGATGAACAATTTAGATCTATAACATCTAATATTTTATCCTTTCTTCACCTGGTGCAAGAAAGTTTTTGTATATTATTTGTTTGACATTATTGAAGAAGTTTTGCCCAATTCCATTGTTAGCATTGCAGACTGTATACCTGAATATGTAATAGCAGTGCTCATTCTTCACTTTTTCAGTTGAAGGATCAGAATTTTGACCAGACTGGGCATACACAACAGCAAAGATGATGGATTGGTATGGAGGGAGGAAAAACTGCTGCAGGCAACTAAGGAAACTATTGTTATGTTGTTCTAAATGCAGCCTGACAAAAAACAGAACCAACTACCTGGGGAGCTGAAAATTGGTATATTTATAAATACAGTTCTAATAAGTGCTTCAGAAAAGTATTGTGCAGCTTTGATAATGGCTGTATTTATGACTCCAAGTAAATCACATTTTGAGTGACTTACTGAATTGGAAGATAAGTGTTTTGCAGATGATCCTATTTTAGACTTCTATCATTGCAAAATTAAATGGGTGTTTTGTGCAAGCGTTATAGTACTTTTCGAAATCTAATTTACCAAATTCTGTTATAACTAATGGATGAAAGTATGATTAAGAATTCAGGAAACAAGATTGCTCAAACTGTAGACTGCAAAAATGTGCAGCAGTAGTCTGTACTTAAAATTATATTATTTTGATGTTTCAGTATTGAATACATGTAGAATAATAAAAGTCAAACTAACTTAGAAAATATATTGAAACTGAATTAGAATACACTGCAAATTTTACTGTGCTGCTTGGAGGGGCTTTACCTGAAGCAGGGCTGGGGGCAAAGTGCTAAAAATGTTTTTTGAAGGAGCCTTACCTGGATTGAAAATAGTTATCTGTATTTGGGAAGTTACATTGGTATACAAAAAATTCCTGACCCCCTTATTTAGATACTGTAACATTTTGTCTAATCCTCATATGTAATCTCTACTGAGATGCTTTTAACACAGGAATTACTTGTAACCAGTTTATTCTTACACTGACTTGCATAAGATGTATCCATTTATTTTAAGGACAGCTTGCTAGGAATTTTTGCCTAAAACATTTCTGGATAACCTGTGTAGAATGAAGATGGATGAAATAGCAACTGAAATTAATTTCTCCTGTTTTCATTAACTGCTTTCCATCCATTTATAGGCAAGGTTCTCATATCTGCATTCTTTCCCTTAGGAAAAACTCATATGGCTACCGAAAGAAAAGGGAGGACAAGTTTACAGTGAGTGTTCATGATCTTATTTGTCTCTCATAAAAGTAGGGAAAGAAGGCAAGAGTGTGGATATTATGTGGAGTAGCAGGGGACATAAGTTACTGCAGAGGCAGTTGTACATCACAGTTGATTAAAGACAACAGCTCATTAGTCTCATGAGTTTACTGTATTTGGGTACCAGAGAAGATTTTCCATTGGTGCAGAAGTCAGGGAAAAGTTAAAATTACTCTTACAGTAGCAAAAAATTTCTATCTCAGTTTTTGTCAACATGCCAGTGTTCACATTCAGGAATAGCTAAACAGCTGAATTTCAAAACACTTGATAATTCATTATCAATCATGGTGACAGTGAAGAACATGATATAGATCCTTGTGGCATAATGTGTAGCAAAAATATTTGTTATGAAGTGGTCAGTTCATTTTCTTAAATGCCTCTTCAAGTGCCACCAGGTAAGGGTATGCTAACACCATTAAAATACTGTGGTTTTGGGAAATTCAAGGTTAATACCAAAGTAGACTTGATACTTGAAAAGGCTGCACTAAGTGTAGAAGAGAAAAAAACATGTTTTTGTAGGATTTAAGGCTTGCTGTGGTAAAACCAGTCATTCCTTTGCAATTCATTCTTGCCACACGTGGCATATTGATGAAGTTGAACCAGGTTATTTCCTTATTCATGTTACAATTGTAATGTTACTCTACTGCATGAGCCATAACACTTTCCTAAAGGTCTGGAATCACTGCATTTACGTGTTTGTGTCTCCTGCTGTTGAGTGACCTGACTGAACTTGGATAAAGGAGCAGGAAAGTTTAGCAAGTGATTCCTTCGACTTGATTGCTTTTAGTTCTCCTCAAACTTCCCAGAGGCAGCGAGACCAGACTGCATGTAGGATTCCCAGTACTTCTTCCTTTTGCCCTTTCAAAGCTGCTTGAATTTTTAGAGTGAAGTTTTGCTATTAACTTTTTTTCTGTATTTAAAAGAACAGGGAAGTGGTACAGGTTAGGTGTGAGTGACTGGAGTGAAAGGATTACCTTGGACACCTCCCTGAGCAGAGCAGCACTTCTGACAGAGCTGACTGCAAAGATTATTTGAATGTAAAAACTGGTACATGTGACTTCTTTGGAGACCCATGGTTCCCTTTGTCAGCACCAGGCTGTAATTGCAGCCTGTGCAGCCAAGTTCCTTCCAGTCTCTTCTGGGCCAAGAATCTTTAGTCTGTGGTGTCTGGTGCTGTACCTTGAGCAGAGGTGAGAGCTGCTGCACACCTAGGACTGCAAGGAAGTGTACTTGTAGCCAAAATATTAAAATTTCCCCTTTAGACTTGGAAATAATTGAATCCAGTATCCTCCAGTATTCTTGTGTAATGCTGTAGCAATTAGATAGTGTACACAGGACGCCACTAAAACCGGTATATTTGAATGGAGTAATGACTTCATTAGAAGATTTTTCTTTTTAAAGGAAAAAGTTTTATGCATGTTTGCATGAAAAAGAGTGTGAAACTTTTTGATCAGATTGTTTCTGAGGCTGTAGACATTAGCCAGGTACTGAACGTACAAGAAGTTAACTTGAGAAATTTTATGCAGTTAGCTTAAAATTCATTTAAGTCCTCCCTCATTCTGCTAATTTAAAATGTTAATGCCACACTTAGTACTTTGAGGGTTTTAGGATTCAACTGTGTAACTTAAAGTGTAACATAAAAGCATTTGCTATTGCAGAACTTCAGTTCCCTTTAAGAAGAATGAGTGTTGTGATTTGAAGAATGACTTTTAAAAATTCAAGTTGTTCCTCTTGCAGTTTGAGCTGGATTAGTGTAGTCTCTCTCCCTGACCTTTGGCAGGTCATCTGACTTGAGTTTTGGGGATTTGCAGTCTCCATTGTTGTAACATTCTTCCAGGGGTAATGCTGGGTCAGTAACAGCGCTTGGAGTTGCGATTGTTCTTGCTTCTGTATTTTTTCTTTCCCTACTTCCCTCTTGATGCACAATTCTTTGGACATTACATGTAGTTTGTGAAAAGACCTCAAAAGTAGTCTTGTATCTGTTGTTCTTTTTGTTCAGAAGTATTCTCACATTCACACCATCTTGATTATATACTCATATTTTCCTTTTCAAAGTAGGAACTGTTTCAAAGACTGGTTTACATTTGGTATTTTGCAGCAGAGATCATCTTATCACAGGAGTCAGCACAGTCAAGAAACACTTCTTTGAAAAAAAACTTCTTTGTTTACATGATGTAGGTGAAGTTAATTGGTAACTTCAGTTACAGCATATTACAAAGGAGTTTTATTTTTCCTGTGTAAATATAAAATAACTTACAAATCCTTACCAGCAGTTCTCACGAGTGATCTTAAACCATGGTACTTTTAAGTCTTGAGCTGGTCTCTCTAGTACAAAATAGTTGTATTTACCACACAGGTGTTGTTTTTTGCTTGAGACATTGGTTTTTTTCTTAGATTTCGTTAGAAAGTCTGTTTCAAAAATTGTTTTGACACTTACCTTTCTATTTTTACACAGTGACCATACAGATTAATACTACTTCTTCTTAGATTTCATTAGAAAGTCTCTGTTTCAAAAATTGTTTTGACGCTTACCTTTCTATTTTTTACACAGTGACCATACAGATTAATACTACTTAGATATAAATTGTTATTGTCTGTACTACATACAAGGCATGCTGTCTTGCCCTTTCTTCATATATCTGAAAATAAGATTCTTATTGACTCTTGTCTTTTTATTTAGGATGTTATTAACTGTACATAAATGGGCATTATATAAATTTTCACCGTATCATGATACATAAACCAGTCTGTTTTCCTTTCTGTCAGTGTGTCTGTCCTCAAGGAAGAGTCAGTGAGAAAACTTCTTATTATGCCAGTGTCCCTAAAGCTGATGCATATACCATGACATTTTAATAATAATATTTTAAGGGCATCAGTGGAAAATGAAAGCATCTATTCCTCGGTACTCTGTGTTTTTTGGGGGATGAGATGGGGGAGCCTTCTCCAGGGGTTTGTTGATACAAATTGCGTGCAAAATACAGTTTAGAGTTGCATATCTTTTCTGTCATCTAGCGCAGTAACCCCGACATGGTATTTCTATTCCAGAGAGGCCAAACACAGTCTCCACCACCCCCAAAACCTCCATCTCCCAGCTTTGAATTGGGTTTATCTAGCTTTCCTCCATTACCCGGGGCTGCTGGCAATTTAAAGACTGAAGACCTGTTTGAAAACAGACTGTCCAGCGTGGTAATAGGAACATCAAAAGAAAGAGTGAGTAGTGAATGTTCATTTTTGTTGGGAAAACAAAGAATTGCATAACTGTTGTTTTCTGATTTGGTGGTCTAGACATGGAAAAACTTGTGGGTTGACACGGGTTGTAAGAAATGTTCTTAAAAACAGCTGTCAAATGATGTGCTGCTGCCTTCTTCACTTATATCTTAGAATTTGTTGGTTATTCTCTTTGAAATGGTGTAGAATATGGGCACCAGTTTAATAAGTAGATGTTAATAGCAGAGATTAGAAAATATGCTCTTTGCTGTATATAATTGCCTCAGGCTTTTTGATAGACTCAGGTGAAAAGTATGTGATACATTTTCCCTGCTGCTTGAAAGTAAGACTTCTGAGTTATATATAAAACACTTTAAAGTGACAGAGACAAACTTCTAAGCACCAAAATAAAGAAGCTGCCTACATAATCTCAGTACACTAGGCATCATAGCTGGAACAAGAACTGCTTCCAAAACCAGCTGGATCCCAGTGTTGTCTTGTCAAATTGCTCAGAAAGATAAAAATACACCAGAATAACTTGGCAACCACTGCTGTATAGATGTAGTAGAGATGCAGTTGAAAATTAATGTTCAGTAGTTTTTCATAGATTTCATTCTTAGAACTGTCTCTGCTGTGCCATCTGTGAGTGACAGTATGTTCTCCTCCAGCAAGACTCACTTAACCCTCTGCACTGTGGAGCACTCTGGGCTGTGAAAGTCTGTATTGGCTTTTTTTTGATGGCTCAGATTTAACTTGTGTTTTTCTAGCTGTACCACAGCTGAAGAAGTTAAGCCCTGGATTAGCAGTGCAAAATGACACAGTGAACCACTGCAATCTCTGTCTTCTCCTGCAATAAGTTTGGTTTAGAATGTTTTCTTTGGTGCCCATGTGTCAGGGGTTAGTAAAGAAAGGGGGAGACAGCAGGGCAGCCTGCACCCGAGGCAGTGACTGTACAGAGAAGCCATCTACTCTGTCTCCTGCAAGCGGTAGGAGGGGCTGCTATGTTCTAGGGTTGCATTTAGGGGGAATGTGCAGTTCAGAGCCATGGTAAGAGCAGTGTTTAACTTACTGTCAGCCAGTACTACAGATGGTAGGCTGTTCTTGGCTAAGATCTATTGATTATGAAGTATTTTACCTCTGTTACTTACAAAATGGTTTTTGGCTATTGTATTTTAGGTTTTACATATGATTCCAGCACTTGCTTTTAATTCTGCAGCTGAAACCCCTTTGTTCCCCCATTACAGATCTAGTACTTGCTTTTTACTTACGGTAAAGGACTTAGACTTCGCTCCTGTAGAGGCAGTCTTCCTATCAGTCAGGCACTTAGGCTTTGTGATACTTGCAGTGCACTGTCACCTTAAAAAGCATCCCTCCATTTACCAGTTTCATTTTCCAGCGTACAGGAGTTATTCTGTACCATTGTGTGGAAAAAAAGGGATTGTGCTGCCTTTCCTTGTTGGCCTTTAAATAAAGAGTAAGATAACAGCAGCTGGCTCCAAAGAGCGATTGTGTTCTGCTACGAAGCTGTTTGAGCTAACATTGGTCTTGCCAGTGTATACAGGCTGCTTTTCACCTTGATCTCAATGTTTTTTCATGTCACTTGATGTGGTGTTACAAAGCACTGAAGTTACACAGTGCTTCCCTTAGTTTCATATAGATGGGCAAGTCCAGTGTATGGAAGCTGAGGGGACTAAAGGTCTATCATTTCCAGCAGTTGTTATGCAAGCATCGTATCTTTATGCTCTTTGCTTAGTGATGCTCTTCTAGATGTTTCTCTGGGGAATGGCAGGTAATAATCATCCCACATTTTGTAACTAGGAAGTGCAGCATTGTCAGATCAAGGGCTGAGTGTTTTGGCAAGGAAAAGCTCTTGCGTGTCTGCTTGACTTGAAGCTGTTCACACTTAACCGTGTACCTACAAGTTCTGATGCACTTGGGTCAGAATGCTCAGCAGCTTGCAATTTCAAGCCTTTGCACACACTATTACAGTAAATAAAAGCTGTTCTGTTATTTCTAAACATCCACCTTTTGCAGTCTTTTACTTTGAATCAAACTAGGCTTAGATCTACTGCAGTAATCTGTGCTGTCTGATTTGCAAACAGGGCCATCAAATACCATTTTCCTTTATAATAGCAACCATAGGAGTCTTAGAGTTTATGCCCTTTTGAATGGTGACTTGGCTGGGAGAAAAGGAGGGTTATAGTCTTCCTTCTGAGCTTGTGTTCTCCCATTGCTTCCCCTTCTGCATACCAGAATCTCTTTGGGTTTTGGAGTTTTTATGATGAGACATAGCACCCTTTGAAACAAACAAAATGTTATAAATGTGAGATATGTTTTTCTGGGTACAGAGTTGTCTTTCCTCAAATTTCCTCAAATTAATGCATGCATCTTGAACCTATTTGGCATTTATCTGGAAGCACAGTATCACTTGGCACTAGCAGAATCTTTTGAGGGCTATGAAAAAAGCCTCTGCTTGATAGCAAATCATTATATTGGATGATATAGAAGTAGAGGTTTGAAGAAGACAGTTCTTAGTGCACAGCACTAGGAGACACTTGTCTTCATAGGCTGCCTGAGGTTATATGAACAGGTGCAAAGCCTACTTTGTCACCAGCAGGTGCAGAATTTCCAGGTGGGAAGAAGTCCAGTCACTAGTGGTATTCCCCAGGGCTCAGTATTGGGACCAGTCTGGTTTAATAACCTCATTGGTCATCTGGACCAGGTGATGGAGGGCACCCTCAGTAAGTTCACAGACAGCACTAAGTTGGGCAGGAGTGTTGATGTGCTGGAGGGCAGAAGGGAAAGGTCTGCACAGGGGTCTGGACAGACTGGATTGAAGGGCTGAGGCCAGTTGTGTGAGGTTCAGTAAGGCCAAGTGCTGGGTCCTGCATTTGGGTCACAGCACCTCCAGGCAGTGCTACAGGCTGGGGACAGAGCAGCTGGAAAGTGGCCTTGTGTGAAGGGACCTGGGGGTGCTGGTTGACAGCAGCTGAACATGAGCCAGGTGTGCCCAGGTGGCCAGGAAGGCCAGTGGCATCCTGGCCTGGATCAGCAATAGTGTGGCCAGTGATTGTCCCCCTGTCCTGGGCACTGGTGAGGCTGCACCTGGAATCCTGTGCTCAGTTTTGAGCCCCTCAGTACAAGGACACTGAGGTGCTGGAGCGTGTCCAGAGAAGGACAGTGGAGCTGGTGAAGGGTTTGGAACACAAGTTACGAGGAATAGCTGAGGGAACTGGGGTTGTGTAACCTGGAGGAAAGGAGGCTCAGGGGATACCTTGTCACTCCTTACAGCTGCCTGAACAGAGGTTGTAGCCAGGGGGGGGTTGGTCCCTTTTCCTAGGCAACCAGTGACAGGACAAGAGGAAATGGCCTCAAGCTGTGCCAGAGGAGGTTTAGGTTGAAAGTCAGGAATTTTTTTTTACTGAAAGGCAAGCTGGAACATGCTGCCCAGAGAAGTGATGGAGTCACCACCCTAGGAAGTGTTCAAGAAATGACCAGATGTGGCACTTAGTACAGTGGTCTAGTTGACAAGGTGATGATTAATTAAAGGTCTTCTCTAACCTTAATGATTCAAAGTGATTTTGTCATTCAGATATGTCCCAAAGGGACCTGAAGCTTCTAACTTCTTGGGAAATAACCACATCTGTCTGTGTTTCCAAATAAATGTAAAGGAAAAAAATAACATATTCATTACAATATATATATTGGTTCCTTAACCCTAGGAAGGTGTTCAAGAAATGACCAGACATGGCACTTAGTACAGTGGTCTAGTTGACAAGGTGATGATTAATTAAAGGTCTTCTCTAACCTTAATGATTCAAAGTGATTTTGTCATTCAGATATGTCCCAAAGGGACCTGAAGCTTCTAACTTCTTGGGAAATAACCACATCTGTCTGTGTTTCCAAATAAATGTAAAGGAAAAAAATAACATATTCATTACAATATATATATTTGTTCCTTCTATACCTTCCTATAGTCAATTTACCAGTATAAATCAAACTATGAAATGTTTCCTGGTTGTGCTAATTTTCAGGCAGACCATATTAATTGGATATTTTGATTGTCTTTCTGTGCCTTTTTTCCTCCTTCAGAACATTAATGTGGATGCAAGTACAAACACTATTCCATCAGGAATTCCTCGAGAGCCGTTACCAGTTCCTTCTACATTGCCCAGGACCTTTGAAAGGTCTCCTTCGCCACCCCAGCCTACTGAGTAAGCACTTAATTACATGGGTATAATTATTCTGCTCTGCATCACATTTGCATTTTCTTTCATCAGGCAGAACAATGTAAATAGCTATTAAACTTTTAATCAATGGAAGAAGTAATATTTTGTTGTACTTGTAGTAAAGGCAATAAAGCTTAATTTCTGAACAATATCATAATAGTGATTCAATCATAATAGTCATTTAGCAGAAGAAAATTTAGTGTTGTGGTTTAGTTTCTGTGAGTAGAAGAAGTTTAATGAATACCTTACTGTCTTGTATTTAGATAGCTTTGAAACAGAGAGAGTAAACCCATGGCCCTGTAGGCAGCACTGATGTCCATACCATAAAAAAAGTTTTTTAGTAACACTTTATTTGGAACCTGCAAATCAAATAGCTGAGTAACTAAATGCTATTAGAACATGACAAATTACAGGTAGCGTCACACTGCACAGGAATATATTTTTTTCTATTTTTCATAGCATTTTTGAATGCAGTGCTAGTCATCATGTGCTAGGCAAATTATAGCTTTTTATAACTACTTGCAGTCACACTCAAACTTTTTAGACCTATTATTAAATCATTCATCTGTCCTGAAGTTTCACTTTTCATGAGCCTTGCTTCCTGCTGGATGATTACAGGGACTCCAAAGTTGTGGATAAACAGCAGAGAGAGACACAGAGTACAGAAAGACTTTCTTCTTCCACTCTGAGTACTGCATGTAAATCGGTACAAGTCAATGGGTCTGCCATAGTAAGTGACCTTATTATTCACTTTTTCTTAATGAGCCAGTTTGCATTTAACAGAATATTTATTGCTACCCAGTGTTGCCTAATCATGTGAGCCCAGCATCCTAGAATTTGTCCAGCAGCTTTAGATTTGCTTATTGGGCTTCACAATTACTTGCATGATAGAATTATGCAATTAACAGTGCAAAAGAGATGTCCTTATCTGAATCCTGTTCTTGGTAGGATCCTTGAGGCAGAAGTATTAATACATATGTTGATATTGAAACCAGAGTATTCATTGTGTTTCAACTGGTTTAGAGTTTGAAAGGGAAGTATTTTGTCCTATGCCTATACCCCGTTTTTCTGGCACGCTGTTTTACATTTTACCTTTTCTTCAGCTTTATTGGCTATGCAACTTTTGTGAACTTCATACTCAAGCCCTCATCTGCATATTTAAGTGCAGCAGTCTTTTGGGACAAGAACTTCACCCTTTTTTGTTCATAAGAGTATTTTTTTTTTCCTCAGGATGCTTTCTTTAACTCTGTCCTGTTTGTTTCTGATTTCCTAGGAACTGCGAAAACCTAGTTATGCGGAAATTTGCCAGAGAACAACTAAGGATCCTCCTACATTGCAACCCCAGAAAGAACAGAAGCCAAACACTGTAGCATGTGGGAAAGAAGAAAAAAAGCCCACAGAAACAATAGAGAAAAACAGAGAACCTCCTCCTGCGAAGTCACATCCTGGACAACCCAAAGACCAGAGAAGACAGTCAGGACGCAGATCGTCCCCTCCAGCCGTTGGCAAACGCTTAAATAAAGAACAGAGTACCCCTCCAAAATCTCCTCAGTGAAAACAACACCTGGGAGGGATTTGAGAAGAGGTCTGTTTCCCACAAATTAAACCCATGTTCCCACTAAGATACCTGAGAATGAGTTGCTGGTTAGGAGCTTGCAGTGATACAAGGCATGTAACAATGCCTGCAAGTTATTTTTTTGTGAAATACTTTTTCCCCCTCTTGAACAAGCATTCTATTTTTCTGGGTATTTCTGGATAGTTGTTCTAAACCTTACATTTAGATTGGTGCTTAATTGGAGGTGAAGCTTAGTGTGATTTTTTTTTTTCAAGGTGTAAAATATTTGTCTTTAAAAAAAAATCAACTTTTTATTAAGCCTCTCTGTGGCTGTGTGAGTGCAAGCTCTGTATAGTGAGTTTTTTCTAAACTGTTAAGCAGAAACATGCTGCTGCAATATTTTTAATAAACTGGTCTGCAAGTACATATCTAAATTAGTGTCCAAAAGACTGATAATGGCAGCTAGTGTGTAGAGTGCAAGAAAGTAGATATATTTTACAAATTAGTATGTGACCTTGAAGATTTTTTTTATTGGGCTGCTGTACTAAGTGTCAGCAAACAACCTTGCACTTTTAGGTTAAATGAGTAGCTGTTTCTAGCATTTTTAAAAACTTAATCTTTTTTTGATGTTTTGCACACACAAAATGAATTCTAGGGCACCATAGCAGTCTTTCTGAAATATTTCCTTTTATGACTTACTGCAAGCAAGTAACCATCTTCTCACTCCAGAATAAAACTGATGTTATAATTTGCAAATACAAAGCACATTGTGAATAGAAAGAATCAAGTCTGTGAGCTTCTATGGTGGTGAAGCCTGTTAGTGGATGTTATCAGGAGAAAGCAGAGTAGCCTTCTTGTGATAACCTTAGCTTCCCTGTGCTTGTAAGGGAGTTAACTGAGTCAGCGCTGTATATTCTGGTTACCCCTGTGCTCTGTGTAGACTTTTTTTTAAAATTCTGCCCCAAGTGCTCTTTGAAAGAGTTCATATCTTAGTCAGCCTTGTGTTGACATCTTCCTGTAACTACGAGCATTGGCATACGGATTTAAATTTTTCAAGACGTGAGATAATGGTGTTTGTTTTGTGTGGTGGAGGAAGAGATCCCTGATGTTTACCTCTGGGATGAGGTTTCTCACACTTATTTACTTTAGAAGTGATGCGCTTTCTGAAGGACAAGGATGCACTAAATTAGCAAGTTTCTAATAAAGTTGAATATAAATTATTTTTGTTTTAAAATGCCTAAAGCTTTTCTTTAAGTGTTTAAACTGCAGGAAGTTCAGACAAAACTCATTCCTGCTGACTATGACAGTACAGTTTATTCCACAAAAATGTTTATTTAAACAACTGATTTTTTTAAAGAATTATTTCCATCCAATATTTAAAGACTTGAATTTTATTTAAACTTGAAAATGACTTTGCCTTAACTTTTGTACAAGACAGTTTAGAGTTAATGAGGTCTGACCCCGTGGAGGGTTAGCATGAATGGCATACAGAATTACTCAGTTACAGTATGTATCTATTGTCACTGGTCTTACTGGGTAAACATACTGTAGTACAGGAACTAGCAGCAGTTTTTGTAATATACCTTAAAGATCTTAAACAGTTGATCTTTTTCAGATTGTTGAAAAACCTGTAAATGCAAATAGTCAATACTGTATTAAATATGTGCACTTGGAAGTGTGTGCTTTGCTTGTACAGTTGTAAATAATCAGAACATATAAAAAGGTACCCTAAAGAAAAAAATCTGATAAAAATTATTGATATTATAAATGTTGCTGTTGAGCTGGATGTAGATAAACTAAATGTTGTGGTTTGAATATTACTTTAATTTGTTGTTTTTTCTTTTTCTTATTTTATTCTGGTGTGTTGAACTGACTCTGCCTCTTCACTGCAAAAGGGAAATGGAACGAAAGTCTTATTTGAAAGCCCTCAAATATTTTCCTAAAGTCCCTTTAAAACCAAACAATTTAGCCAATTCAAAAGTGTTCTGCAATGTAAATAATGAATTTCAGCAGTCAAACTGTAATTTTTAAGTCATTAATAAAAATCAAGTCTAATTGGGGAAAAACTTGACTGCTGCAAAAATATACACTGAAGCTTACTTGTCTGCTTTCAAGAGTATCAATGCATGGTTCACAGAACTGTAAAGTAACTATAGAAGTTGACTCCTGATAAATTTCCTATTACAAGCATCAATTGGTAACTAGTTGGCATTGTAAATCCAGCCTGTTGTATGCTGCAGAATTGGTCAAAATAGGGCATGTGGAGTCTGATTTTCCTTGTTTCAAAAGCGCACTTTGTGAATGCTGTGGGAGGAGATAGGAGCCCGACACCATCACCAAAACTGCTCGACCACTTCTGTCATTGAATTTTTTATCCCCTTCTCCTTTCCCCAGTGGCAGTGAAAGCGGTAGCTAGATTTGTGTATGGTTTAGGCCAGCTGTATGATTCATTTTGTTTGTCTGCTGCAAGTGAAAGGCTTTACCAGCTGCAAGCAGTGGCAAGTGGTCCCTTCCAGCGGCTGTGAGTGGCTCGTGCTGGTGCTCAGCCGGTGCCCCAGGTGATCTGTTGAGACCAGTGGGATGTGTTGTGCTGTTCTAATGTATTCTGCTGCCATTTGTGATAGGTCAATACACTGTAATTACTGCTTACCCAGCAACAGTCTGTTGCATCTAAAGTTTAAACCTTCCTCTGATGTGGTTTTATAGCTTTTTTTAAAAAAAAAAAGTGACACGCCAAATCGCTGTGTAATATACAATACAACTTCTCCTTACTGTATTTTGCTTTGAGATTTATTCCCCCCACCCCCCACTCAGTGACAAAATGGAGTTTTCGGAGTAGAGTTGTGAAGTTGCATGCAGACTGTTGCTATGATACAGAGAGGAATTAAAACATAGCTTTTAAAATCAAAAATCTCCCAAAAGCAGTAGCTGAGCTCAAGGTTCAGGGATTCACTAATTAAAATTGGCATTTTACCGTGTTAGAGCTGTGTGGTGATACTTTTCATTTTGAAAACAAGTCAAAATGGGATCTGAGATTCTTCCAGTAATTTTTTAAAAAAGCTTGCTTTCAAAACGGAATGTAATTTCAGATCAGTCCCACCCCGTGCCACTGTCACTTAGAAACGTGTGAGCAGTGGCAAATTTTTGATGTTGCTGCGTTGTCCTTCAAAGCCTTGAGCCCTTGGCATGGAAAGGCCCTTGCTGGAGGGTGGGGCACTGTATCAGGAGCAACAGCTGACTGCAACGGTGCACACCTATCTCTGTATCTCCTTCAGCTACAGGTAGGGGTTTTGTGCTTCGGAACCTATTACACTAATAGCAGCAGACAATCCAAATTTCTGAGGAGACCTAACAGCTGCCAATTCACAAAATAGAAGTGTAATATGGGAGCCTTTTTGAGGGTTTTTGTTTTTGTTCTTCTTCCATTAAGACTGGAATCAAGCTTACATGTAAACTATCAGTAATTTAAGTTTCCTTTTGTGTCATAAAAATGTAAAACTGTCTAATTTGAAAAAAAATATGTAGGTTATGAAAAATAAAGATTTAGGCACTGTTGAATTCCTGATTTTTTTAATTAAACATTTCTTCAGCAGTATTTTTCATTACCTTTTGTCTTTTGCTCCCATTTTTGGAAATTGTATATTTCTAATTTTGGGAAAAAAACCCTTTTGCTTTCTTGTTCAACACAGCTCTTGTAACCATCACCTAAGGCTCTGTATCAGCAGCAAGAACCTCTGTGATATATCTCTGAAGGCTGCAGTATCTTTCTCTATTAGGTAACTATGACTGGTTAACTTTTTTAAAGCAAACTCAAAAGCTCATGTGTTGTTTACTGAAGGTTCTATTCATTGGTTTCATTCATTTATTAGATAAGGTATTGGCTTGGTCCTAAATATGGATTTTAATGTTTAGGTTGGTGCTTTGGTTGCATGGCATTTGAATCTGGAGATGTCTTGGGATTATTTTTGGCTTTAGCTGGTCTTAGAAGTTCTTCTCGAAGAAGGTCTTGCATCTAGGAAAGAAGAGCTTCTGGGATATTCTCTGTCTACATAAAAGAATATTTGGGAAATAATCCAAACACCACTCCACCACCCCCTTTGTTTTGTTTTGTTGAGGTTTTTGTCTTCTACAGCTATATCTGACCAATTATAACAATGGATGTAAGCATGGAAATATTAACAATTGCTGTGTTTTATATGCATCTTGGGAAGTATTGCAGTATTATTCCTCATGCTGATGGTTCTGTAAGCTCCTGGACAGGTTAGACTGTTACTGCTTCTATTTCCTCACTACTGCCTGCTCAGCAAAATAGCCCAACAGTGGAACACCAGCCTGCACTGGGCACTGTGTGCATTTCCGGGCTGGAAAATTCACTTAAGCATTGGGCTTTGGTGATGACCTGGGCTGCAAGTGGTTGAAGGCAACTAGTTTTCACTTGAACATGAGTCCATGCTTGGGACAAAGTTTTCTACCACTTAATTTGTAAAAAGTGCATGGAAATACTGGGCACTGTGTGCATTTCCAGGCTGGAAAATTCACTTAACCATTGGGCTTTGGTGATGACCTGGGCTACAAGTAGTTGAAGGCAACCAGTTTTCACTTGAACATGAGTATCCTGTTCCACGCTTGGGACAAAGTTTTCTACCACTTAATTTGTAAAAAGTGCATGGAAATTTGTCAGTAATGTTGCCATAATTCTAATGTGTCTGTGGAGGACCACCCCAGCTCTGACAGAAATTGGGGATCTATTTGTTTGCACAACAAAACTGGGCAGTGTCCCCTTTGTGCTGATTTTGCTCAATAAAAAGTGATGTTCAGTGATGGCTGCAGCAATGTTCATGCTAAGCACATCGGTTTGTGTCCTCTTGGGCATGAGGAGAAAGAGTGAGTGTAGAAAATTATGTGCAATTTGAGCATCCAAAGGTTACTTACTGTCGCAGAAACTGATTCATTATGCTTTCATCCTAAGGCTTCTTTAGAAAATAAGATTTCATGAAGTTTCAAATTTTCTTATACGCTTTTGCTTCACAAACCTTTACGTTAAAACCTCTTGTTCTAGTATAGCTGAGCTTTTATGACTGCAATCATTTAAGTCAGGGAAGTGATTGAATTTCAAATTTTGCTAGTGTATAGATGAAAGCAACGTTATGCACTTCATCTCTGCTTTTGAGAGAATAAGCTCTGTAACAGTCTGGTGCCATCTGGTTATGGTAGCTCGGTTACTGCAGCCTTCACTCATTGTGGATAAATGTCTTGGGCTATATTTCAAGGCCCAGCATAAATTGATCAGGTAGAAATTTGGTTCCTGTGGAAGTGGCACATGTAATACAGTTCCTGAGCTGTTGTGCCAAATAAGCACAGAAATGCTGCAAAGAGGCTGGCTGGCCTCAGCTGTACCATTCTTCCTTCCTGTGTGCTTCCTCACATCTGCACACTGGCTGCTCTGAAAAGTACTCGGGAAAGAGGAGGGCTTGGAATAGGTCAGCAGCTTTTGTTGTACCAGCACTACAGTGAAGGAAGGAACAGGAGTATAGTTGATGCCTAGAGAAGAGTGACATGATGATGGTCCTGGCAGGAGCACTGTGCTGCAATCAGTGAATGTAAACTGAGTGCTGGTACAATTAGTTTATGATGAACAGAAAGCAGAAATCTTGGCTTAAATGTTGCCTTGCTCCCTCCAGTGTATGTGGCTCCAGTCATCACACTTGGTGATTTTTGAGCCTTTTTCTCACAATGGAGAGTAGAAAGGGTCCAATTTCTGCTCTAGTGTTTTTGACTGTTATGTACAAGCTGTAAATGTGCTAAATCTTTAATCTCTCTTATGATAGACTATTAAAGGTCTTTGTGCATCTTGTCACAATTGGTTTGGGAGCAGTTCACTGTTTTGCAAAATGAAGGGCAGAAGGGTGGGTGTATGCTGGGGAAGGGAGTGAAAAGATGAAATCA